GCGGATTTGAGCTTTACATATTAGGATAAGGTGCTTCGGTGTCAAGAAACGCCTTGCACTAAATAGAAAACCGACCTTGCGCGCAGTGCGAGAGGCGAACGTGGAAATAAAAGTGAACCGACAGACAGAAGAATTTATAGATAAAGCTAGGAGGGAGAGAATTTGTGGAACAAAGGGGCAGCGAGTCAAAAATCAATTGGGGAGAATAAGAAGCATGTTTACGAGAGACGGAGAGGAGAGAAGTTTTGTAAGCATTGAAACACATGCTTAGTAGAACCCCATGCGGAGATAATTTCGAGATCGAAGGCAAGAGAAACACTAGTGACATTACGGTCGTGATCGATATTGGCAGTGGCCTGATGGGTTGTGGGATAAGAAAGAGAACAGTAGAGAGTGGCGTAATCGGTAAAGTAGTGGATGGGATTAGATGTTTTAGACAAAAGATCGTGGATGAATAGAAGGAAGTTCGTGGGTGAAAGTATTGAACCTTGGGAACCATGGCATTTACAGGGAATGGCCTAGACAGGACTCCATCTACTCGGACGGAGATATTTCGCGTGCTGAGGAAGCACTGGAGCCACAATACGAGATACGAGTGGAGTCCGAATGTGGATAATTTCTAGAGCAAACTTTCATGCCAAACGCGATTGAAGGCCTTTGAAATGTCGAGCGAGACCATGTGAGTTTCTCCGTGGTTATCGAGTGCAGTTGACCAGGGGTGTGATGTCAACGCCAGTAGGTTACCCGTAGATCAAGGGGGGCGAAATTCATATTAACGGTCATTCAGCAAACCTTCGCTTTCGAGAAACGAAGCAGCTGGTCGGAGATAATGGTTTTAAACACTTTCTAAATTACAGAAGTGAGAGTGATAGAAGGAAAGTTATTGGGGTTAGAATGGTCACCACACTTTGGAATAGGTAAAATAACGACCCCTTCGTGGAGTGAGGAACGATTTAAGATTGAGTGAAGAACATGAAAGGCGGCATAGAACATGGGCTAGATCCGGAGCACACATTTTCAGGACGATAGGTGGAATACCGTCCGGACCGAACCACGAGGAGTTTGGCGGACCTTTCTCGTTATGATAGGTAGAAAGGAGTAGTTGAATGTGTGGGAGGAGAGGTGAATAGTAAAGTCTGCAAATAAGGTGAAGTTGGAGGAAGACCTGTGCTTTTTCGTGGGGTTCACAAACAATAGTACCAGAGGAATTAGAAATGGAAGGAAAGTTGGAAGGGCAGAAATTACGTGAAACCGCTTTATCAAGGGGCCAGAATGTTCGGTTACCGGTGACGGAAGAAGTCTAGCGCGAATCTTAGTGATAAATGAAGCTTTCTCTAGCTCTCTGTATATTGGGCGATCATTTGTTTCTAGCTTGCACAAGGCGATTGTGGGATACTAGATTGGGTGAGTGGTGCCAACGATGGAATACTGAGTTTTCAAAAAGCAAAACACGGTTACAAGCATGATTAAACCGGGAGTCATGATTGGCCAGGCTTTGAAAAGTGTGGAATATAAAGATACATGCCTTGAAGAACAATATTTGTGAAGTTTGAAACAGAAGTGGAAACATCAGCTTTGAAACTATTATCCTTTTAGGGATAACAAGCCAGAAAGTCACGAAAACCGTCCCAGTTGGTTGAAACGTAACGCCAAAAGGTGCTTTAGGAAATTGGGTGAAAGAAATGAGTGAGAAAGAAAATGAGACAATGGTCCGATGAGCCTAATGGTGAAAGGGAGGTGTTGTTGGGAAAATAAGAGGGAATAGATGTGAGAATTAGGTGAAGCATGTGGGCTCGGTCACCAATACGATCAGGGATACGTGCGGGGGTCAAATAGTTGACTTAGGTTTTTAACCATAGCAAAAGCCTTGACTTCGTGTCTCATGGACGAAGTGTCTGAGGATTACTTCAACCATTCTTTGTTGCGGACATTTAAATCTCCGACAATGATGAGTTGGCTGTTAGGATCTGATGCCATTAGTATCTCAATGTTGAACGATAAAATATCAGAAATAGAAGTGTCGCTGCTACGGTAAACAGTACAAAAATAGTGGTTGAAAGAAGGGAACCGAAGTTTCAGCAACATAAGCTGGAATTTGCGGTTGGAGAAATCTAGATGCAAAAGTAGGAAAGAAACGACGGAACGATGGATATATGCGCAAACACCAGCTTTCAGAAGTATAGAAGAATGGAAGAAATGATTGGAGAACTGAAGGTAAGTAGTGTCTGGCTATGGAGAGATTCGTGTCTCGGTCAAAAATAAAGCCAATGTGGAAGAAAGTAGTGTACAGAATGAACATTTGGATTTAACCTACGAATGTTAGTCTAGGCTACAAAATGTTCGACTTTTTAGGTAGAGTGCGTATTCTGTGATTCATGTGAGTTGTATTGTTCATTTGTGGTGTGAGAGAACACCGGCAATCCAACCCTGAGACTTGGAGTGGTAAGCCATATATGGTCTCAATAGGTTGACCGTGGTAGTGACCCGGACAACAGCAGAGCTGCTTACCACCTTAACATTGAGTAAATGGACGTTGCCTTGTTGAACGGTTGCAGGTCAGCGACGGTGTCCAAAGGTATAGTGGTGGGTTTTATCCCACTAAGCTTATTGTCTGTAACAAAAGCCATAACCGTCCGTGACTTTCGCATATTCAACTCATCATTACTAAGTAAGGCTATCTTCATCATTGTTTCCCTAAAAGCTGGCCGGGCAAGGGATTGAAACCCATCCTCGACAAAAGGGCGGGTATTACTTAAGCTGATTTTTTGCCATACTACTACTACTACTAATACAAAATATAATTAACCTATATATTTGTCCTAACCTATCTAGTTAGTTCCTCAGGATGTCCGTACTAAGATCTGTTTATCACACAGTCTAGATCGATGCCGTACTTTGATAATGAATATTTTTGCTATTCGCGTACAGCCTCAGGGATAGTGTACTTTTTAGACTGCAATGAATCCGAATGTGTACACAAAATCGAATAATATGACGGACTAGTAGCAATTTTAAAAGCCTGTCGCCTCGGTGAGTACCGATCATTGGAAGTGATTGACTCAGTACCATGATTTCTTTTTTAAGTGCAGGATTTGCAGATAGCGGCTCGTTAGAACTGTAACCTTATGAATTCAAAGCAGGAATATTGGGTAAGATTTCCGGAATTTGGTTGCATTCACATTCTTTTTTATTACATACTGTCGTGTAATAATTGGCAGAAGGCGGAAATCCATAGACAAGAGGGCGTACTGTTCACTTATGGAGACCAGCCACCTAATCTGAGGACTTTAATTGACTACCCACAAAGCCTCACTAGCATGGGTGAGGTATAGAGTCGAGCGAGAACAAAGTTGTCCATCATTAAAGATGATGGGTTCAAGCTTCGAACCTTAGGGTCCATGCACACTAGAAAAAGCAACTTAAACTGTTTGACTATCACCACCCATATAGCGGTGTATGCAGTATTCTTATTGCTATCGGAAGTTACAGATGTCACAATGGTAACGGATCTGAATCCAAGTGCGATAGTGGTACATTTGAATAGAACACTGACCAGCACGTACATTTCGATATGAAGTTTGTCATTTTTATTACTTTGCGTGGTAAAATCTGGACAGGGTAATCCCATAATCACGAGAATTTTATTTCCAGTTGTGGAAACCAAAAAACTTAAACCCCAGAATGATGAGTAAGAGAAACATGAAGGCTCCAGTAGGTGGGGTTTAACGTCGAAAAAAGCAACGAGCCCTCGTTACCAATTCCTGACGTATATCTATTGCGCTCAAATCTAATCGTTCATTAAATTATCGCGCAATTAAGCTGCCGAAAGACCGATTCCAGGAGAATGTTACTCATTACACCTTGGGGTAAACACCACGAGGAAACTACAAACCAATGAATGTCTTTAGTTCTCTTGACGGCGTCCGTAGAGCTNAATGCGAAATGGTTACCTTCCTTACTTGGAACAACGGAACCTAGGGTTTTTGAACGCAATAAATCTGCTCCGTGCTGGTGATGAAGTAAACCTATTAATTCCAGGAATATTTTCAGGGCGCGCATTATCATCATTTGACTTCACTAGTCTTCTTCATCGTCCATCTGTTTAGGTTGAATTTTATTTAATGGAAGCGATTGCGACCAATAGTATCGGAAATTTTGACTTCTCTGTCATCGCTGTTATCTGTCTCCTTGAATTTCAGTTGTTTAGCTGATACAGAAATAACCGGTTCACGTTGTCATCTCTGTTGCTCTGATTTCGTCAGCTCCTATGGGCTCAATGAATTGAACAAAGTGTCTCATTGGTTGGGAAATAGTTGTTCAATGACAACGCACAATCACTCTTCCCTGCGCGCTATCCGATGGTAAGTGCAGCTTGATCAACTCGAGACAACTAGAGTTGAATCAGCACTGATCCCTCGTTGTTCTAGTAGTTGCGAATCCTCGTGGTTTATAGCACCGAACACGTTCGAACAATTTGCATGAATTCATTCAAAAGAACAACAATGTAGTTGCCATGGTTGAGCTGCTACGCACATGCCAAGTTGAATACGGGTCAGAGCTAGCCTTTTCACCGTTCTCGCGTTGTCAACATCAAAGAGTGAGAGAAATCTTGTTGATTTATTTTATTTATGAACTTTATGTTCACCATACTAAATGAACTTGTTATGATTTCATCAGACTAACAGCCCCTAGTGCCTGGGTTCAAATTCCCAGTGGATGACTGAATGTACTCCGTTGATTCAGTTTCAGTTTCAACAACCGTTGACCACGCATATTCGTGCGCCAGTTTTGGTTGCTGTCTTTTGGCTGCCCATTTGGATGAAGAAAAGGAAAAAAGGAAAAGAGAAAAAAGGAAAGTTGGAAGTGGAGTCGAACAAAAAATGGAGAAGTTCACTGGTCTAAGGTTGCAAAGAAATTGAGGAGACGCACGAACGCCACTGTTTACGACACCCAGCCATATCACTCAGTGTCTCTAACCATCGGTTACGATCATCTCGAGGTCCCTAGCCAGGGAGACTAACAGGGCCTATGTGACCCACTCTCCTGGTTAGGGTTTTCATACCCTCGTGCCAGGTCTTAACTTGACTACCCTTCATTTTTTTCCAACCGCGACCTGCCTCATCAAGCATCGCTCGCCGTGGTAACCTATCTGGTGACATGCGTAACACATATCCCAACCAACGTAATCAATGGAAGTCGACCACTTGCTCCAGTGGGCGACCGCGGATCCACAAATCTCTGCCCCTAACCTCAGCAATACTCATCCGGCTACCCCACCAGATTCGTGCAGTGCTGCGTAGACAGCGGTGTTCGAACACCGACAGTCTGTCTTTATCCTGTTTTCCTAATGGCCAAGTTTCTGCACCATATAGCAGGACTGGCCGAACTGTCGCGACATACACTCGACCCTTCACAGACAGCCGGATGTCGCGACGGCGCCACAGGTATCTCAAGTTGGCAAATGCCAACCGAGCCTTCTGTATGCGAGCTGATTTCATCCGTGATGCATCCACCGAGTGAGATGTAGCTGCCCAGATAACAAAACTTCTCCACCTGCTTCTCCAGTAAGAGTGAGGTTGGGTGCTGGACCAACCCAGTCTTGTAGTAGCATTTTACACTTCGAAGGTGCAAAACGCATACCGAATATGGCTACACTGGGATTCAAGTTAACCAGAAATGCTTGCAACTTACCTGGGTCTTCACTTAGTAGCACAATGTCGTCTGCGTACTCTAGATCAGACAGCCTGCCACCTGGAAGTAACTCGGTGCCACTATCCTCGCATGAGGATAGGGCTGTTTCCGTAATGGGATCTATAACAAAGTTGAATAGAAAAGGAGAAAGAGGGCAGCCCTGACGAACACCACTTTCCATGGTGAACTCGGGCGAAAAAGTGTCGTAAGTGCGGACTCGACTTCGGTTATTCGTATAAAGCGATCGTAATATTGAAATTAACTTCTCGGGCACAACTTTCAGAAAAAGGCAGCGCCAGAGTTTAGAGCGGTCGACTGAGTCGAAAGTCGCATTCAGATCAAGGAAGACAAAGATGGTGTGTCTACGAAAAGAATGCCGGTGCTCCAGAATTTGGCGCAGAGTGAAGATGTGGTCGATACCGACCGGGTCTAAAACCAGCCTGGTTCACCCGCATGCACCTTTCACGTGCGGCAGACAATTGGTGGAGTATGCGAGAAGTTTAGAAACGGTGTTGATTAAACTGATTCCCCTATGATTTTAACAAGAGAATCTATCACCTTTCTTGTAAATCGGTATAATCACCGATTCACTATTCAGCTGGAACCTCTTCCT